TTGGGGTGCTTGGCACCCTGGGAGATGTAGTCGTCTTCCCTCCACAATAGCGGGCGCGCACTGCACGCCGGGAGCGGCAGTACGCGGGAACAACCCGGGGAACAAAATGGGGGGAGAGCGAGTTGCTCAAGGTCCCTCTTCCTTCCCCAAACACGACCATCACGGCACGGGTCACGCAAGACACGAGGGAACACACACACGAAGAGAACACGAGTCTAGGAACAGCACAACAAAAACAAGCCTGAGTTACAGCTAGAGGACAAATATTAAGTGTGATCAGTACGCGGGAACAACCCGGGGAACAAAATGGGGGGAGAGCGAGTTGCTCAAGGTCCCTCTTCCTTCCCCAAACACGACCATCACGGCACGGGTCACGCAAGACACGAGGGAACACACACACGAAGAGAACACGAGTCTAGGAACAGCACAACAAAAACAAGCCTGAGTTACAGCTAGAGGACAAATATTAAGTGTGATCAAACTTTATCTTTAGATTTATGCATATATACACATGCCCTCAAAGACAGGTTTTTGTACTTACATATTTCTTATGCTTTAAAGAAAAAAAGAAAAAGCTTTGAAGAAAAGACGTTAAAAAAAAGTCTCCTTGTGAAACTCAACTAGAGCTAAACAATTAGCTCAAACTGCATTAAATGAGAAAATAACTGCATATAGCCAATATATTTTTGGACCAAAAATTGGATGAAAATATAAACTAAGCACATTTTAGAACCTTCTCATTAAGATTTTCATTAAGCACAGTGCACATCAAACTTGAACAGACTACAGTCCAATACCTTTTCCCTCTTTAGTAAAACATTACTGAGAAAGGTGAGGTATGACAAAAAAGGAAGGGTGTGCTAGTCTCAAATAAAAATAAAATAATAAAAAAACAAGTATTTATCATCTTCACTTATGGACCATACCTCCAATCTCCCTATTTTTAAAAGATTATTTCAAAAGAGGCAAATCAAATGCTCCATTTGGACATGTCATAATTTGTTCTCTGGCATCAGATAACAAATTTTGGAGTTTGGCCCAAAAGACAACTTAACATAAGACCTTAGAGAAAAAAAGTCTTTATTATTAACCAGGTTTTTGCACTGGATTATGTGCCTATTGGCCCAGACTGCTAAATAACATCTACACAATGTTTCTTTCATGTTTCAAGAATTGAAAATAACTGTACAAGGTTAAAGTACAAAAGTACACAAGACAGTGGACACGAAATATCCATGTATGAGTTTATCCCATCTGCTGCTTGGTTTGAAAAGTAGAACTTTAAACTAAAAAATACTGTCCTTCTATAGTTCTGTCAAGTTTAATGGAAGTGGGTATAACCTGATTACAACACTAACACCAGTATCACTGATCTGATATTTACAAAAAAAATTGTATTTTTCAATAAATTAAAGTCAATGCAACACCCATGCAAGCTAGAATGCTAGCTTTTTGGTGAACAAGGACCCAACATTTGAACAAGAATCTTCCATAGTCCCAAACTTTAAAAATCACTTTTTCCTCTCAGACTGTATCCATTCCTCGCATTGAAGATGTAAAGCCCAATCCCATTCCTCTTTGTGTATGAGTCTGTGATCTGGCCATTTCATACTGTGCATCTAGATTTCTGAAAACTTCTTCCTGCTGTTTCAGAGTTTTGTAACTCTCTTCGTCGACTGAACTACAGCCAGCTTCATCCTCGCTCTAGAAAACAGAAAGAAGAAAATAATACTTATTTCTGTAGGGAGAGACCTTTTCATATATCATAGACATTTTGAACTCTTAAAAACAACTATGCTTTGCTGTTTTCAAAGGCTGATGGGATTTCAAAGTCTCTGGCCTGATTGCTGTAGCATTCTAATCTGGTTTCTTATCACAGTTAAGAAATATTCAGAGCTTCATTGAGTCCTGTTCTCCAATTCATTCAAATAAATGTCTCCCAATTAAGTAACTATAGACTTACTAAGCCTGACCTTTTATCACATTACAATGCTTAAATGAGTAAAAGCTACCACTAGTGCTGTTACAGATTGCAACAGATACACGTTAGCCAAGAAGACCATGAAATACCACAATTTAAGCTGACAAGCAGCATCCAGTTCAAGTTTGTTTCAACTTAGCTTTTCGTGTTTTTCCCTTTTTTAATACACACTTAACAAACCTGCCCTGCAATTCTTAATAAACCTGATTACATATTCAGATTTTTTTTCTTTTTTTACCTTAATGCCCATCAATTTTCTGAATTTGACATTTTGGTCCTTGTTTCCAAAATTTAGTTTTTCCCATATTTCTGCAGACTGTGATTTATCCTGCAAGAATTAAGAAAAACATATCAACTTTTTATGTAAGTGACCACTAAAAATCACAACATAATTGCAAGTAAATAGAGCCATATTGAAAATGAACCCATTGTGCAATTCTAGCAGAGTAAGAAGGATTCCATAAAGAAGTGTCCAGGTCACGCCTGACATTTCTTCATGGTGAAATGCTGTGGCCCTCTCTGTGTAAGCCTTGTCTGAAGGAAATGCAATTCCCATAAAGTTTACAAAATTTGGCAGAATGCATAAAGTGAATACTGGTTTTCTCCTATTATTACAGTAGAGAATGATACATACATCAGGAGGAACAGATTAGACAGGTTTATTCCCTCCTCCCACCAGTGCCACATGAATTTTTTTCTTTTCTAAGTCTGTGAAGTCTGCAAGTTTTTATGTAATTATCACACTATAATTAACACTTCAGTATTAACATACAGCATTGACACACAAATAAGAAGTATAAACTTTCCTATTGTTTGTGTCACAAAAAAAAATCCCTTGTTCAATGTCTGGTCATCTTAGTCCTTTCATCCTGAAAGTTTTATCTTGGATTTCCACTAATATGAAAACTTAGTACCAAATAGCAAACTAATTTAGTTGGAAAAACTTAAACTTTTTTAATGTTAACATCTTTCTTAAACTCTTGAAACATGTTTAGAGATCATAGTATTACCCCTTCTTTTTTGCCTTGCCAAAGCATCTTCCGCTTTTTTTCTTGTTCAGCAAACTTCATCGGATTCACTGCTGCTGGGTTGTAATAACTAGGCACAGCTATTCCAGTCTCTGCTAGTGCTTTTGCTTGTAGTGCTGCCATTTGAGCTGCCATTGCTATTTGAGGAGTTACTTGTGTTCCCGATGCCAGAAGAGCAGCAACGTTAATAACAGAGCCTCCCGTGGCTGCAGCCGCTGAATAGCAATGTGAGATCATACAATAATTTCAGACAAAAAACACACACATGAGAAAGCCAACCAAACCACACCCACTTTCTTCCATTAGAAGTAAATTGCAACATACAAGAAATGCCCAAGCACAATTAAATATTTCACTCTTCTGAATACTCCTGAACTTGTACCAATGTTCAAATTCTTGCTTAATAATGCATCACCAGATCATTTACCAGTCTAACATGCATCAGGTTTGTTATTAAGTCATCAGTACTGGCAAGAAATAAATCCTATTCTTATACATGGACCAAGTTGCCACTTTCTTTTTGCAACTGTTTACTACATGAGTTGGACAGGACTGAAACACTTAAGAGCATAAGCCTACATGGTATTTCATCCATACTATTCTTTAGGAATTTGTAAAATACACATGGGCTACCTGCAGCCATTTCCTGTTGTTTCTGTTTTTCAACCATTTCTTTCTCTCTCTGTTCTTGCAATTTCTTTGCTCTTTCCAATCTAGAAACAAATGTGAAAGAATAATTAAATATGCAAATACATTAAGAACAGATTATGTTATACCATATTAAGAATCTTTATTTCTGACCTTCTGGCTAATGCTTCCTGTGCATCCATAGCTGTATTTCGTCCCCGAAAAGGTGGCGGACTCGGGCTCCGAAAAACTTTCTTTCTCTGAAATCAAATTTAAGACAGTTGGTAAAATAATACACTACATATAATAAACATTTCATAAGCTCTGGAAAATTACAAAATTAATTGAGAGCTCTCGAGAAAGCTCTCAAGAACAGCTTTTGCATACTGAGGGTACTGGAACACCCTGGAACTGGAACTATCAGTTGCCCTCACATTGTAATAGGACAGAGCTAGAATTTAAGATTCCCAGCTGCAAAAAGGAACAAAATGTGTAATTTTAAGTGCTGCTTTATCCTATTATCTAGTGTTTGGAACACTTTCTGTTCTAGCGGGTAGACTGACCACTAGTAGCCCAAACAGATCTGTTCAAGAGACCTTTCTTTAAATTTTGATGAGAGGAAAAAACAACAACAAAAAAATCACTGTATAACTTTCAGCAAGTCAATTGCAAGTAAACTGTAAGACACATCAAGTCACAATACTATACCACTAATAAAAAATGTAAGATGAACAATGGTTCTGCAGGTATTTTCTACTTAAAACATTTTTATGAACCATTTAAGATAACTAGAAAACAAAGGGGACCGGACTGATGTTTTACTAGAAGATGACGAGATACAAACGTAACCACTGAGCGTAGCATATCTGCTTTCTTATGTTTCAAAGACACCTTCATTTTTGCTGTGCTGACTACTGTAGCTTGGCCTTGTCTTTGATGCTTTACTGCACTGGTAAACATCAAGGAAGTAAGAACCTGAGCTTTTGCATTTGCGCAATTCAATTTGAAACAAGCAGATGGTGTCATGTTTTCCACCTAGTATATAATCAGAGCAATGCAACAGAACTGTAAGCCTTCCACACATGAACATGCAGAACAGCAAGGCTGTGTGCTTGGAAGGACAGATTACTCAAAGACACACGAGTCTGAGACTATGCAAAGACCCATCAACAGAAGTTCAGGCCATAACTTTACTGTAGCACAGCAGATACTACATTTCATGAATGAGGGAATTCATTTCATGGCTGGCTTCCAATAGATTAAGTTCGACACCACGCTCATCTGGCTTGTGAAGAGTTTTTCCTTGAGCTTTACCCTTTAATTCTGTTTTCAAAGGCTTCAAATGAGAACAGAATGTGGAGAAGGGTTCTAGCTATTTATTTTCCCCTCCCTAAAATCTCTAAGGCAGAAACAGTAAAGAAATGGATTCGCGCAGCATAGCCATTATGAGGTAATGAGGCACTGTTCCATTTAAAGGAATTCCTAAGCTATGAATATACCTTACTTTTTCTTCCCATATTCACTGTTCTGCTTCAGGTAGTTTGAATTCCACTGCAGAGGCCAATATTCATTTCAGGAGGTGGAGTTTTTAATGGAGTCATTCAACAAAAAAAGGTGTTCAAACATTAATGTAAATAATGTAAATGTAATAATAAATGATTTGGGTTTATCACCTTACATATTGTGCCAAAAGGTGCTTAAATACCTTCAACTGCTTGTAGTGTGTATATACTGACTGAAGACTCAGCTTTACTCACCCCAGCTGAAAGTTTGGTAGAAAGTGCATGCCAATATAAAATACGACACAGACCATGTAATTCAAAATGCTCTTCAGAAAGGTAAGTCTTCTTAAAGTTTCACAAGTGATGTTGTAGCATCACACCAGTGTGCAAGATTCTTAAGTCTCCAACAGTTCACTGTAATGTTGAGTAGTCAGTACCAACTTCTATACTATTGAAATATGCAATTTAAAGTACTCTAGTGAAAATATTCATAAAGTTAACTGGAATACTGGCAACATTATCTTGGGAGTTCTGGAAGGTCATCAATTTACACCCAAAATTCTACTTCAGAGAAGCAGGAGGGGAAAAAAACAAAAACCAACCATAGTAATTAAGTCTTATTTCAACTTATTCATTCAGAAAATCCTACAGGGCATTAAAAATACAAAGGTGATATAAATTGGCTCAGATTTTTACTCCGAAATACTGAATGATTCACTAGCTAGAAAACATTGCCTCCTAAACTCTAAGGAAAGCCTTAACTCTCTAGCACATTCCAGCTGAGGCACAAATCCCAACTAAATCAAAAAGACCTAGACCTGATAGTGGTCTAAAAGTTTTTTAATCTGTGCTTCCATTGGTTTATTTTGAAGAAGGAACGAGAGCGGCCCTGGGAAAGCAAGGGGAGAGTGGTACAGAGGACGAACAACATGAATACTCTCTTTCTGGACTTGACTGGAGAGCTGATAATCACTAGCACAGAACAGGACACTAAGGCCAAAAGCAGCCCGCATGACTCAAAAAACCCACCTTAGCACTATACTAACTACACTAGATCCCAGCTAAAATGAACAGATCTTTAAATAAAGTTAATGGAGCTTATCAAAATTAACACAGAGCAGAATCCCTGACAGTGTTTCCACTGTGTTTCCATTTTATGATTTTATATATATATGTGGAAAGTAATAATATTTTTAAAGTAGCACTCTGCTGATCATTACTACACTGTAGTACAAAACACACAAAATAATTTGCTGTATCTTATTATTCACTTTTTCCTACTTATTATTCTCCAAGTCAGTAAATTAAGTTGTGACTTAAGAAATGAAGAAGTTCAACTATGGTAACCACACTAACCAAAATACTAAGTTACATACTTTATAGTATCTGAGGAAGACTCTAAAATAGTGATTTTAGACAGTAACCATAAAATTAAGTCTACAGTTAGGCATTTCTAACTGGTAATATGGCTTCACACTCTGATAAGCTGAGAACCTGAGACACTTAAACCATCTGGGACAAATGTTTCCACAGTAAGTGCATGCACAAATACCTTGTGTTTAGCTCACTATTCATAGTGAATGCAGTTGAAAGGATAAGGAGAAACAGTTGCAGTATTTTTCCAGAGTAAAACAGTTTTTAACTGGCCAAACCCAGCATTCTTTTACACAACAGAATCCACAGACCATTCAATCAAATAACAACACAAAGTACACGGAAGTTAACACTTACCTGCTTCTGCTCCTAGTCCTGCTTCTACTTCTACTTCTATGTCTGTGTCTAGATCTTGATCTAGAACGAGATCTTATGCGGCGCTTTCTCTCTCTGCTGCGGGATCGGGATTTTTTCCTATCACGACTTCTACTACGATGACGTCTGAAACACACATCCCAAATTCTTACATATATTCTCAATTTTAAGTTTGGCTTCTACTTAGGAATCAGACACAGGCTTGTCAATACAGGACAAAATACACCAAGAAAAGTGAAGGGAGCAGCAAACTATATGCAGAAGACTTTATGCCTGGAATGGTTCAAGTTACAAGACGAGGAGATTAAATGGGAAAGGAAGCAAACATAACCACCAAAACCAGAAGAGTGATGTATTTAGAGCTTAGATACAAAGCCACACTCATCAGTATAGGTATTTTCATTTGTTCATGGAAGTGTATACCTCAGCACAAATGTGTGTTTAAACTAATTAAATACAGAAATCTTAAATTCAATGTAACTCTAGCCCTCCCCAGGATATCCCAATATCTTTGAAGAGGTAAGAGAAGTTGGGAAGCAATGCCCAGATGTCAGCTGAAGAACTGCATGTAGTCCCTCACAAAATCACTAAGGTTGGAAAGGACCTCTAGAGATCATCTAGTCCAACCCTCCTGCACACTCAGGGTCACCTGGAGCACATGGCACAGGACTGCATGCAAGCAGGTTTTGAACATCTCCAGAGAAGGAGATTCCACAACCTCTCTTGGCAACCTGTTTTAGCACTAAGCTATGTGACTGATTCTCCTAAATGCTTATCATATCATTAGCCCGTTCCTTGACATTACATTTACTACTGGCCCTTCACCTATGGGCTGAAAGGTTCCACTAGCAACAACCTATATACCCCAAATAATACTCCTACCACGAGGTGGCCTACTGTACAAGGACACTACATGGCATTATCTTTATCTAAAGTCTTCATGGAGGACGCAAAAAGCAACGACACTACACCTTCTTTCCTGTCACTGACAACAGGGAACATTCCACATGCACCCTGTATATGACCTACAAACCTGGAAAACATTAGGCAGAAGACACACATAACGCCCTGGAGATACTTTACTTGCCATCATCTCCTCTCCCACCATCTCTAACTCCCTAAAAAACCCAAACATGCACCCATACACAGCGCACAGTAACAATGTATTCAAAATCAGAACATACAACATTATTTAACTCCAAAGCACTAATTTATGCTATGAATGTAATTCAAATGTATTTCAGAATTCTACACAGATTCTGAAGACTTTTATGAATGTATTTTAAGGAAACAAAAAAGTCATGTGAAACAGCTTACCTTTCACGAGATCTGGATCTTGAATGACTCCGCCCTCTTGATGATTTTCTTTCTTTGCGTTTGTGTCTATCCTCACCATTTTCAGATGAATTTAGGCTCTCTCTTCCTCTGTCAGAAGAATGTTCTTTGTCATTGTGGTCTTCAGATTTGTGCTTCTTGGAGGACTTCTCTTTGGATTCATGTCTTCTTGCCTGTTTTAAGAAGAAGTTGGTTCTTTCAGGAAAATAGTGCAACAAAGAGAGTTAGTATGGGTATCAGAAGATAAAAAATGATAAGTTGTGATGCAACATTAGTAACCTTAGGAGTGTGACTCAATCATGAATGATGGCTATTTTACCTAATGCCACCATCTACACAATGTTGCAAATACAAACTATCATCCCCTCCCTTCCCCTCCTCCCCACTGTTCTACATTGCCCATCTAGGTATCTTTACAGTGTTTCCATAGGAGAGTTCACAGCATTTTAACAACTGTCATTCTCAGATACCTGCTTTATTCTAAACAAATGGTGTGTTCCTATCTTTAAGGATTTGAGAATATATGAATATGCATATATATTCATACCCACATTTGCAGTTTATATTTATCTACAGCCTACCATACAGAAATAATTATTAGAATACATACAGCTGTAGACACACTATCCTGCTTTTGAAATTATTCTTCTACACATTAGATACTTCAAATTTATCTTTACATAACTCAATCCAGCAGTAACTTCTAACAGTTTTTAAAATGCAAAGCAGTAAGAAGTTACATGGCTGACATCACATTTCTAGTACTTAAAACTAACATGCCTCACTGAGACCTCCCATAGTAGTTTTAATTTAAAGATAAGCTGCTACACCATACTGCAATTTCTTCCTGCAGTGCCTCTTAAAAAAGAAAAAAAAAGATTCCTTTTTATAGCTGCAATGCCAAAAACACTAGCAAGGTCAGGCCTGATTTTTGCCAGTGTTTTCCTTGGAGACTAAGTCATGACATCAGCACCTTTTCTTAACACATCCAGTTTATTTTGAAACCTTTCTAGCATAAGAAGCATAGCCCACTTACACAGGCTTATATTCAATAGCGTTTTGTTTCAAATTGCAATTTAATTGTCATATTTATCTTAGATAAGAATTCAATGCTTCAGAGCTTTCTCTCTAAACCTGCTCTACGTTAAATACTTACAAATCCTCCCATAACCATAACGCTCACTCAAAAGAAAAAAGTCTGGAAAAGATAGAGTAACTAGCTCACACCACCCACTTATTCAAGCTTTTCCAACTGCTTGTTAATATAGTTCAGATTCTAAATATTATTTTTCATGTATACGTATCTGATGTAGGTTAGGATTTCTGTCGCACTCCACAGGATTTTAATTCTTTGAACAACTTAAACTATATAGTTGTGTTTTCATGCAAAATATTACTTCTACAAAAAAAAATTCAGATTTGTATGATGAAAATAGTTTCTGATGTACATATTAAAAAAGTTTTGATATGCAGAATTTATTCTATCAGCAAAGAGCTTGATCTCACAAGTGAACAGAAAGTAAATCTACTGTGGGACATTATGATTTGTTCACATAGTGAAACTTACAAAGTTTTAAATATGTTGGGTAAGATTAAATTAGATCTCTAACAACACTGTAAAACACTGGACACAATTTTAAATGAGAAACATCTTTTCTGAACATTAAAACATTCTTTTTTAAAATCAGGCTTCCAGGCACACACTTAGTAATAAAACACCATTATATCCCATAACGGATTTAAGATACTTTTAAGGGAAATGAGTTTGAATGACTAATAGTTACCTTATCATGAAGTAGGCTTATAATTTTGCTATCTGAGTCTGCAGCGTCTTCAGTTCAGTCTCTTCGCGCATTAGCACGCTGAGTATGATTTATTATAGAAATGTTATCATGTGATCTAAACAATATATTCAATTTCACAAAAACTCTCCTAGATTATTTTTTTCCTTTTTTTTTTTTTCTTTCTTCCTTTTTTAAACAGAGCTTCCATTGGAATGGGAGAAGGAGTAGTTCCTGACCCGTGCTAAAGTTAAAAGCCCCTCCTCTGACACAGTCTGCTATTGCCCCATATGGCTTAAGCTTCCTTTCTGACCACTTTCGATGCTCCTGGCTTGCTTGGTTTCATCTCTTCTCTGGTGGTTAAGCCAGTTATTTCCAACGTATTATTGATGCTGTCTCTTCTCACTGCCTGAGCTTGAGACAGCCCTCTGAAATTTTTGTTGTCACTGTCATACTTCCAGTTGACCCTTGTTGAAATTGTTTGTCAAGCTGTAACAGCCTTTACAATTGAAGGATGCAATAAACAGAGCTTAGTCAGGTGGGGAATTATTTTTAACAATTATACTTGAGTAGATGGGTATGTATCACTGAAAGTCCTGAACACTGGACAGGTATAAAGCCACACAAGGCCTAAGACTAATGGAAGCTCTGTGAAACAGTCATCAAGAACACCACTTTATTTCTCCATATGAATTCTTTCATTTGGCTGCTTCCACAAAAAAAAATAAATTAATTAAAAAAAGTTACTAGTTTCTGAATGCATTTTCTATAAAGCTATTACCTTGTCAACATGATGGCTGCAATCATGCTTCACTATGAAAGGATCTCCATATCCATTTTAAGCTTAAAATTTTCAATTTTTTTGTACTTACCATAAGGTCATTTATATAGGTTTACACATATGTGCATTACTACAAGATACTTTTAAAGATGTATTGTACAATTACCTAAACACTACAAAGTATTAATTACCTCTTTGCTTCTGCTCCGGCTTCTGTGTTTTCTTCCTTCATTATCTGAAGGAAAATAGGAGGAAAAAAAAAAAAAAAAAGGACAATTGTTGTTATTTACCTAGTTAAAGGATTGGTTAATTATAAACTTTCTACTTTCTTTTAGTTGTTTCATCCCCAAACTATGAAAAATCATGTGTCTAATCATATCTAACTAAAATGAAGACAAACTTACAGTATCTTTTCTCCTCCTTCCCTCTGCAACTATTTTTGTCTCCTCACTATATGCTCTCAACATTGATCCTTTCCCTTAGCACTTCAGTCATTAAGACTGAAGATAGTTTCAATACATTGGATTTGAGATGAAAAACTGAAACTAGTAGTTTCATTTTTTCAAAATCTTTCAAATCATTGCAGCTTAATCTGCATTTTGTCCTCAAATAGCTTTTAAAATATTTCAGTTCCACAAGCACGCATGACTCAGTAACACCAGAATATGATACTGTATACTTCCAAACACTTGCAGTTTCATCCCAGCCGTATCTTTCCTGAGACAACGAAATTTCATCTCCATAACAACTGCTTTGTCAGGATACCTACTAAACACCCAGAAGAATAACATCCTGCCTTTAAGTCTTCATTACTCCTATTAGCACAAACTCCTATTACCCACAAGACTTACATAAACATGCAATTAAAGTGACTTTGGTTTGATAAGGACCATACCTGACTTTCGTCTTCTTTCCCGTGACCGTGAACGTGATCTTGAATAATGATGTTTTGATGTTCTAGGAGAATTAGATGCATCTGACTGTTCCTTTTTCTTCTCCCTTTCTGGAGAGGACTTTTCTGGGGCCACCCCTTCTCGTTCTGTGTCACTACCCTGAATATAAAGACAGAATATTTAAGTAACAAAACTAAAAACTTCGGACCAAAGTCTTGTTGATTTATAACTGTACTGTTACAAAAGAAGCATCTTCCACTACCAGTAACCACTGAAAAATTGCAATAATTTTTGAGAGTTTACTCAAAAGAAACAAACAATTACTTTCTGTCAAGAAGGTATCATCTCACTGTTACTTAGGCACCAGCTTGATAAACTCAGTGAACTACGTAACCGCACACAGGTTCTAGGACACCAATGCACAATTAGCATTTTACTTTTCGGCTACGTTACATTATAATTGACGTTTTTTCCCCCTGCCACAAGCTTTGGGAAATCTCTGTGAGGCTAAACTTTACAGAAACTTTGATTCAGTGTTCTCTAAATGGTGTTGTTTATAGATCAATTACCTTTAAACATTTATGCCACTAAGATTACGTAAGTACTATGCTGCCTCAACAGGTTGAAGCCACCTTACAAGCCAGGACATTACTGAGGCACAGCACAGAACTCTCACAACCTTCTGAGGTACAGTGTGGGTACTATGAAGAAACATTATAATATGGTATACCTCGTTTCATTTCAAGAATAATATGTTCATGGTATTTTAAAACAATTAAATTTTGGAAAATGCAAAACAGCTATTCTATGTAAAATGGCAAAAAAAAAAATTCCTTACACAACAAAATCTCCGCAAAAAGCACGATGTTCCCTCCATCCCTTCCAACGCCAAAGCCAAAAAATATCTTTAGTGTGTAGCAGTCAAGATTGTTGACCGTGCTAAAATTTTGGAGAAGTAAATGCTTACAATGGGCATGCCGTTCAATGAAGTAACAGAATGAAAAGAGCATAAGGAAATCCTTTTCAAATGATGAGAACACGCTCATTAGTGCCTTCCCAGACTCATTGACCTCTGGTGTTTGCATCATGCAAGTGGCAGGCACAATCACACCTTCTGAGCATGATGTGGCTGCACAAGGTTTCACCACAGACAGTTTGGCTGAGACAATGCTACGTTATCAAAATATCAGAAAAACATATAGGTTACACTCCTCAGCTGAGTTCAGAGATGTATTTTTACTTGTAACCTAAGCAAGAAATGTGACAACCAGTCAGATGGTGATTTAAAGGCATTATTTTGAAATTTAAACACTTTTTTTTGTTAAACCACAACAAATGCTATAAACACATTAGCTTTCTTGATCATCATGGTTAAAAATACTGTATTAATAATAATACTGTATTAATTCTAGCTTTCTTCATGAAACACTACAGCTAAATCTTAAAACTTATTAAAACATTACAAGCTTATATATAATTAACATTATATATACATATATACAAAAAAACCAAAAAACTTATATTCCAGCTACTAATTTTTAGTCTATTCAAGTCTTCATTAACTTGCATGAACCCAAAAATACATCCACCAATTAATCTCTACAAATGAGATACAAAATAAGGCACCCCATTACCACAATATAACAGTACTTATTTCAAAACACACCATTATCTGGGAAGCAGGGGGGAAACACTGTATTGAAAGGTCTGCCACAGATGCAGTTTCTCAGTCTCAGTTACACTATTTTAATACTCCACCCACTCCTCTGAAAACTCTTAGAACATTAGATAAAGAAATGGGAATGTCCCTCCTATTTGTGACCTTAGCCATCACAGTCCTTGGCATTCCACATCCATCACATTGGTCATTCTAGTTAAAAGTTTGTTAAGACTTTGTTAAAAGTCTTCTCCCTGTTCTATCCAGTCATTCCCCTTTTTCACAAGTCAACTAAGGAAACTTTCAAAGTAACGTTGAGATTTATACAGATCATTTTGAAGTTTTATAAGGATAAGAAAAACATCAGCCTGCAGTCCAGGTTAACTTTTGTTTGTTTTCTTAAATGTTGTATCTAGCAGAAATTAAGCCCATTGACACATTTTTCGAAGCTACAAGGCTCTTTTTTATATACATTACTACTCTTTAATTACCACGGACACTGTGCCTTACAATAATTTCTTAACCTTATAAAAACAGACAGTCAGAAAACACTGATTGACTTCAATAAGACTATTCTCAGCTAATAAAGCACATGTGGATTTGCCACAGGATTAGGATTTCACTGAATCCCCACCTGCTATTTAGAAGGAATCTCAAAGATAGGGCCAATAATCGACAGGCAAAACTACAAGTAAATTCTTCAGTTATTCTTATCGGCATTTTTCATCTTACTCTTAACAGGTTAAATTACAAAAGACCAAAAAAAAAACACTTTTTTTTTTTTTTTTGGAAAAGATAAGTTTTTCCAGACATACATGGTCCTCTTGTTCTGTAGTAACTGGTCAAATTTTCAAGAAAAGTTAAATATCAAAGCACCAGAAAATACTTAAGAGCAACTCTGATTAGTTTTAGCACTTTTGATCTAAACCAGGACCTTTCTGCACTCTCAAGTGAATAAAATTAGTTTTGAAAAACTTAAAAGACACCGTGTTTACACAACTCCTCTTGTCTCTTTCTCAATTATGGGGGAAATATATCCATAAATTACCAGACCACTGAAGGGAATAAAGGAACAATCTTATGTCACACAAAAACCCAAAGAATGATGTCAGTGTTCTTGTTCTTTGCTTTTTCGTAGACGCCAAGCAAAGATACCGTGGTGTAACTACGGCAAAGATGTTTCCCATCATTGTTAACCATAGACCCAGAGACGAAGAAAGCAATCTAAACTCAGTGCAGGGAGATGCTGTAAATAACTAATTAACCCGTAGCCAAGTTCAGAGAAGAAACAGTAAGAAGAGGAACTCTGTGCAAACGGGAACTGAACAGGACTCAACTACCAGAGTGATGCTCCCTTTTCTCCCCTCCCAGAGAGTTTGAGCTCCACAGCCCTCCTGATAAACGTTGCTCCTCCTCCTCCCACTGCTCTTTTCCTAGGGCAGGAAACAGCAGCGCCCGATCCACAGGGTCCCCCCCTTGCTTCTGTTCAAGCCCACAGAAACAACACAGAAAGTTCTGGAAAGAGAGAAAGCGCAAGGGAAGGAGAGGTGGCCACCCCCACCCCGAGGCCCATCATGGCGCCGACAGGGGAAGGAGCGGCGGGCGCCATTTTGTCTCTCCGCGCACACCGCTTCCCGAGCCAGCCCTCCCCACCTCCCTCGCTCTTCCCCTCCCCGCTCCCGCCGCGGCCCCGTTTCCACCCCGCTGAGGAGGGGAGGGCGGCGGCGAGCGGGACGTGCCGCGGTTCCCTCTGGGAGGGGAGAAGGCGGTGTCCTAGCAACGTGGGGGGGGAGGGAAAAAGACTTCGCGTCAGGAGGAAGTTTGCCCTGCGTTGCGGCCGGTAGCGATAGCGAGCCGTTCCCGCCAATTTTAAAGACTGAAGAGGCGCGGGGGCCCGGGCGGCTTCTCGGGCCCTTTATACAAAGTCTCTCTCTCTCTCTCTTTTTTTTTTTTTGTTTTTCTTTTTCTTTCTTTTAAGGAAGTAAACTATTTTCCTGTCGGTTTTTTGTAGGTAAACATGTGGAACGATATCGAGCTGCTTGCGAACGATGACACAGGGAGCGAGAGGCTGTGCGTAGCGTTAGGGCAGGAGTGTGGAACTGCGCTGTACCAAGTGGATACACTAGTCCAAATAACGTCTTCTGAGAAGGTAGATGCCGTCAGGGTTGCGTTTTCCTCTCTCTCGATAATTATCAAAACTTGGCTGTTGTATTCTGCAGCTCTATCGCAATTACAGCTATATTTACAGCTAGATAACCTTTCTCTTAGGTCTCAGTGAATCCGCAGCTGTATGCGTGCAGCTCCAGGGATGGCAGCATTATTGTTGTTGACAGATCAGTGGTACTTCTTGACAGTACCAGCCAGTCTCTTCAGATGCACATTCAATTTGGTAAGATCATCACTTTGCAATTCAGCTAAAAGCCAAAACTGGCTTTTAAATATGTGTATAGAAAATACTAAAAATACTTTGCATGATTGTTTACCCTGTAGAAAGAAGCATTATAACATGTGCCTAAATGATAAAATGCTATTGCTGGTTCTGTGTGTTATGAAGAGTATTTCTATACAATAAATTATTCTCTGAAATGAGAGCATGCCTTTTCTAGCAGTTTGATTTATAAAAGTAAATATTTTTGAAAGAAAAAAAAATCTGTGATGTTGTCCACTCCTGTGTTTTAGATATGAATGCCTTTTAATAACAAAATCTTAATATTTAATATTTTGTTATGGAACTTTTCAGATACTAATGTGGATGTGGTTGGTATGTGTCAGGAAAAACAGTTTCTTGTGGTTGGTGAGAGAAGTGGCAATCTCCATCTTATTCACATACCGTCAAAACAAACCTTGCTAACTAAGGTACAGAACTTTATCTATCTTTACTTTCCTGAAAACCTTCATTTTCAGAATTTCTACTTTTTTCCTCCAGATATATTAAAAAAAATCCTGAGTTGGAACATATTTCTAGTTTAAATAATCATACAGATAAATGAGGTATTTTTCTTCCCCTAAATAACAAACAAGTGCAATATATCCATAAATGGTGTATAAACAAGAACCATTTCATTGAGAACATGAAGAGTGAAGCCTCAGAACTACCCATCTACCCAGTTCCTTACACAAGAAAAACACAGAGTTTAACTGATGTTCAGTATTTCAAATAAAATTTTGTTTTTGTCCAAACACATGTAGAATAATAGTCTATGTTGATTTTGTTTTAGATTTTAGTTGAAAAATCTTCAAGTGAAAAAACTTATTTAAATCTCATTATTGAAAAAGACAATGCAGATGCAGGTAAGTTTTAAATACTTTGTCTTTATCTCAGTTCTTGTGTCTTTCTTTTTTTTAATATTTTGTTTGTTTGTTTGTTTGTTTTTAGGTGTGTATCATATGTTCATTCTCACAAGCAATGGATTCTTTTGTATTATGTGCCTCCCACTTGCTAAAATACAGGAAGGTAGGATGATCTACAAAGTTTTTAGAATTTTCATATGAACTGTA